GCAGGTCTGGCCTGTGGGTCGGCGGACTGAGCCGGAGGCTCTTTAAGTAACCCCCTGTAAACCCTATCATGACAGACCCCGAGATTCTGCATCATCAAGCCTGCATCTTACAGAGATGTGTTATTGAGAGACTACCTGACTACCCTGCTAAAAACCAACGTGGAACCCCAAGACAGGACCCTAGAAAGACTTCTGCACGGGACCTTTAGAAGGGGATTGTGTTAGGTTCTATGTAGTGGTTTTGGGGCTTGAGTTTTGGGTCTAGGGCGCGGGGAGGAAAACCTCGCTCCCCACAAAACAAATATGTGAGCAGTGATTTCTCAATTGAACCAGGTAGGATTACGTAATTTCTTCTTATCAACTGCTCAAATCAAAGGACTAATATGTTTACTTCATCTTCATGGCCGTAATTCGCCGGCTGAAAATACTACTCCCGTACAATGCCATGTTGAGACCCTGTGACTGTGGACCATGATTTGCGGACCTGAAAACCGTTCCCATGGCGGCCCCTGCTCCAAATTATGAAACTCACCATCCTCTTCTTAGGAGATCCTTGATATAACATCAAAATATATTTTGGGAGATACGTGCTGGGGGGGGGGGGTGCGGGAGTGTTTTATCAAATGAGGTGCAAGGAGAAACTCAACCCAACATGGATACTGGAAATGACACCATAGCTGCCTGAAACTGAAATTTAGGGCTTCGGCTTCTGTGCCCCAAAAACCCTGAAACCTACACCTTGTAGCTTTGGGAACGTTTTAAGGTTAACAAAAACATAAGCACTGACTTGATAGGGATATCCCACTTCAAGTGCCTTGTAACCAATTCCCAGAAGGTAGGGATAGGGGCCATGCTCGTTTTCTTTCCCTGAGTTTCTAACTCTCTATTGTAACACCTGCAAGCCAGGGGACAGGACTTGTCCACCCGAGTCCTCCGAGCCGTTTCCCCCCAAACTCTTCAAAAATCCTCAAACCTCGAAGCCCTGCTCTCCCAGAACCCGCAAAGACCTTGGCTAATTCCTTTTGGGGGTACAGACCAACACATTGATATGAGCTACAGAGTAAACTGGTCCTAACCCCTATATAAATGACTCCCCTACAGAATTCCCCTCTTTACTCCCCTTTAAAAGGAGTTTAGACTATAGCTCATATGTCCTGGTTGGGCTTCGGAAAAAAGAAAACACATTGAACACGATCTCCATCAATGATTCTATCAAATCCCGAAGAACTGAATGAATCAATAGCAGGCAGGCTACGCAGTCCACAGACCCATCCAGGCAAGCACCAGGTGGACGCGATAAATCTCCTATTGGGATCTAAAGCGACGAGGGCTCGAGGACCCAAAGAGTCGCAAATGAAATTTGAGGTTTTGGAGTTTCGGCTTGGGCAAGGCAAGGCGGCTAAATGGCCATTCTGCGATAAATTGGGGTTCAGAGTTGATGGCGACAGCCTGGGTACTGAAATGGGGGCTCTCAACATATGATTCCATCTCCACCGGTGTTATCTGATGCGGAACTCATTCATGATGTTGCTGGAAAAGCAGGCAGAAACCATGCGAGCTGTTAAAGTCCTGTGAACTAGGACTAGGACCCAGGTCAGGGCTGAAGACTCTGGTTTCGGGTTTGGGTTTGAGTTTGTTGTTTGGAGTCTACGTACCCCAAACCCAAAGTATATGATGGATGTACAGGTTTGGACTGAACGATGGCTTTTTGCGGGCAGATGTTGATTACATATCAGAATCTGTCGGAAAACGGCGGCCCCTAGGGACCCTAGGGATAGGTAGGTCTTATATTGGGATTAGTGGGTCTGCTGAATTCTACTCTTCCTGAGCATGCCCTGTTACGTCAACAATTTACAACTTCCTGTTGTTGCTATAGGCCCGAACAGTCTGCCTTGAGTATCTATTTTAATATGCATTAGTAGATGTGTCCTAGGCCCCACATGTTGAACCCGATTTGCACCAGCAATTCAAACAAACTTTGAGGGTTCTTCTTGCCTAAGTAAAAGAAACGCTCCGCTGCGTGCTCTTACAGCCATGCTTGCAGATGAGACAAGGGCTGACAAGGAAATCAGCTACCCCACTTCAAACTTCTTCCACCTCATATGGGGCACCTGCACATCAACAGAGTTCTCATTAGATATCTTATACGGTTTATTCTGAGGAATACCCAGGTTTCGTCTTCAGAAAGTGAGCAGCCGCTTACACCTGCCTCCTCTACCGCTAGCAGGAATACACCTAAGCCCTTAGCCCTCAACCATATGTTCAACTTATTTCACATCCCTTGACCCCATACCCCAACCTTACCACAAAACAACAGTGTCTCCCGGTTGACGGTGAGCGCCATAAAAAGCTCGGGCTTCGTGCCAAACCATGCGACGCCCACCGCGAAGGTCAGGATCATACTGCGGGCTGCTACCATGCTCCTTTGTTGAAGCTGCAGGTGCAACGGACAACAGAATAGATTTGCTAACCTCTGAAAAAAGGAATCTGGGCACTTAACAAACCACCCTCGCACCCCCATCCTACAATAGAATACATCATGTAGAGACCCTCCTCCGCAGGAAATCACAATCCTCTGGGGACCCCTGCGTCCAGGCGCATGATAGCATCAAGGGTTTTTTTCACATCCTGGTCTGCGACGAAACCCAAGAGGTGGAAAGGGCCAGCGATGCCTCTTCACACATTTTAGGATTTGGCGTGTTTCGGTTTGGCTTGGAACCCGCTTGGAGGTCTATAGGTATAGCCGTATAGCCCTAAACCCTAAGCCGCATATCCGGTTTTAGAGACTGCGAGGGCTTAAGAATGGTCATCAAACCGCTTGGGTTGAGCTAGGCCTGCTCAAGACCTGGCAGAAACAAACTAGCATTATTATTACCATTCTTACTCTTACTCTTACTACTACTACTACTAATAATCATAATGCCACTACTTTTATTACCATTAACTTCCATGACCCACATTATGCAAAAAAAAACATGACAACTCTGGATTTTCTGAGCAAGGATTCCCAGGCTCACTGAAGCTGTCTGAGACCATTGCACCCTCTTGGGCAGCGAGGAAGTTGCAATGCCTGAAGGCTGAGGGTTTACGAGCTCAGCGTTTAGCAATCTTTCCTGAATTGGGCGTTTCTGAAAGACGGTGACTGTTGGGGATGCGGGTGAACTGCCTATATAAATTGAAAGCCATGAAACTTCAATAACGTCTGTATATGAGCTACATACAGTCTAAACTCTTAGTATCCCCCTTGATAACCCCAGAATACTCCGCTGCTGTATTATATAATCCCCCACATAACCCTCTTTAGGGAATTTAGATAATGGCTCATATGAAGGTGCATGAACCGATGCTTGACTAGTGAGGAATATTCCGTACTCGCTCCCTCCCTGCAGTAACTGATGATCATACCCGGAATGATGAAAGACTTATTGGGAGACTTCATAAGGTACTTGCTGACTTGAAGAGGAGCTTCTGTGAGAAGGCTTTACTGCCGGTAAATGAACTGACGACTCTACCTTCCTGAAGAGGTTAAGGCCTAGGAATGGTGTAAGTCGTGTCTGTGTCAATTCCAGCTTGAAGTATGGGCAGACAATGTATCATCCTGATGTTTCATTGCCTTCCTCCAACCTGACATTGTTCACGGCGCGGGGTAGCGTAGCAGCAACGGGAGAGGGGTCACGATTCCCAGCGGGAAGCTACGCCAGGGTTGTGTCTAGGGCCGAAGGCCCGAAGCCCAAAGCTGAAACCCAAGACCTTGAATGGCGAAAAACCTGAACCCTCAGCCAAGCCCTTAACCCCGAATCCTACACCCAAATCCCCTCAAGACTAGATTTGGCTATGGCAGATGCACGCGAAGCTCGTGATAGCCCCAGCTTTCGATTTCCCCTTACGAAGGCATGTCCTTCAACAGATCCATGACATCATAGAAATCTTGTGACGTAAGCAGTTGTCCTCAAGATTGGGGACAGCAAAGCTCGCCTTTCCTCATCCCTCTACGGATCCAAATAGTCCAATGTGTGTAGCACCATCTATGCGTGTTTTATGGACTTCCAGCGAGGGGTAGAAGGGAAAATTCCTGGGGGCCCGCCAGTATGGCAGACACCATAGGGGGGAATAAGAAGGCAACTCGGGCCCCTGAAGATCTATCTGGGCTAGGGAGAAAGAAACCGAGGACACCTCCAGGTGGTTAAGTACCATGTGGGTACACCCCTACAAGGCTTGGACAAGGATAATGGGACTATATAAAGTCTGTATAAGCATTCTTGCAGGGTGCTCACCTGATAGCTATCCACCTGAAGGTTTCCTTGAAAGAATAGCAGCTAACGATGATCGAGATACTTTTGGACATCCATGTGAAGGCAACTAGGCTCATTCCTGGATTGTTGGCGGTTTAGGATTTAGGGCTTCAGGGTTTAGAGTTTCTCAGAAAGGGGTGGTAGCAAGGACCCAGGGGTGTACAGGGACTATGAGACGGGCTTGTGTTCCAGTTTCAGGGGGTAGGGTGTAGGTCCAGGGTTCGCCCGTACAACCTTGAAGTATAACGTACTTTTGGGTTTCATTCTCGGAGTGAGGCGTTAAGGACGGTAAAGGCCCCCATGTAAGCAATTGAAAACCAAGGTATGTGGAAAGCTTCCCCAAGGGCTGCCCAGCCACCAAGAAACACCAAGTGCTCTCGGGGAACTGACAAGCTCTCAGCCCCAGCTTTGATTCCATCGACCGCGTCCTTGGTTGATCTTAGGGTTGCAGCCAAACCCCCTAAACCCTAAATTCTTCACTCCAAACCCTCAACCCTAAACCAACGAAGCATCCTTCAGTGGTTGGAAAATGCTCGGGTCGCTGCCAATGCCTTTGAAGAAGGCAGCGCCACTGTCACAGTGGTTCGCATTTGCGTGGGAAATGGTACACTCGTCAACGAAGAAGTCTACAATCTTCACACCATCACCAGCCTTCAATCCTCGTGCCAACCCCTTGGCACATATGTCCGCGGCCTCTTCGAGTTTGCGAGAGAATTCTCGTGCACCGGGAGCCACCGAACAAAGAAGCAACACTGTAAGGAGCATCCACAGGTCCAGCACAGTGTGGACTGCCAGCGCCAACTGGTGCCCCCGCTTATGTAAGCTTCGAGCATTGATGATGGGCTTCATTAGCGGGATGCACGCTGCGAGAAGAAGCACAACCGATTTACACAGCTCCATCCCCCATCCATCCCTGGATTGGACTGCGTACAATCGACCACTGGCTTCGGACTCGCCATAGTTTGTCACTGCCTGCAAGGCCACATCGACAACCCGCTCCCAAGTCACACCTCCCATTGCAAGGTCGGCAGACCATTTAGCCGCCTCACCCATCTTGCCCCGTCCCTTTTTTTCTGCAAGTCTTTTTGCTGCATGGGCAACCGCCTCCCGGACAACTGGGAGGAGTCCTGAACCATGCTGCAGGAGGCTTTCTTTGATGATCCTGCTGACTATAACATTTGTGGCCATGAGGTCTCCATCGCCAATAGGTCCGTGGCCTCTCGTCTCTGGAACCTCCAGCCTGAAAAGAAAGCCCCGCTCCCCTTGTGAAATATGGCCAGCCTTCCAGTCGGATCTCTGACAAACGCCAGCCGCCCAAAAGATCTCGTCGAGCGGCTTGTAGGCGCGCAGCAGGCCTCCCATTGATCCCTTAAATTGTGGCGTGGCGGACTTTCGCCAGCCTTCGATAATGCCAAAATCTTCCCAACCTTCCTTGAAGATCTCCTACACAGGCGTGGCATTATAGTTGCCCAACTCGAGGCCAATGAAAGGAATGTCAAAGCAAACAGCCAACTGACACAAAGGCATTTCCATCATAGCTCGACTGGCAAGGTACCTTGCTTGTTTCTTGGTCTTTGTGAGGGCAACCTGGTTTTTGCGATTGAACAACCAAGGCCTGCGTCCTGGGCTAAGCCGAACACCTTCCTGGACCCCTGAACTGCTGAACCCTGAATTCCTCAAGCCCTGCACCCAAAAATACATGAATGATGTAGATGTTGGGCCTGGCGTATCCAACTAGAGAACCATCTGGACCCCAGCTGCATGCTACATCAAGATTTTGCCCTACTTGGCTGCCTTGGCAATGGAGGAGTAGGAGGCTGCCTGAAAGGTAGGATCTAGATGGCCCATCTTGCGAAGCAAACCATACCCGTACCTTTTATTAAGCTTAAACTTCATGATGCTAGAAGGGTCCAGGGAATCTTTATGCATTGAACTGCGCTGGTGGAGAACATAGATTACACACGGGAAAGTGTGATGGCAACGTGAAAACATGGGTCAAACTTTCGTCCTGCGATGCCAGAGGCCCGTCAAACGCACACCCTAACTGGAGAAAACCAGAACCAAAAAGTTATGTCTTCGGGGTCGGCGGTAAGGAGCATTACGTCAACCCTTGCAAAACGCTACACCCTGAACCCTAGACCCTACACCAAAAACCAGCCCCTCCTCGATCACTTGGAGGTTTATGGGTAGTGAGATCTAAGCTGGGCGAGAATTGTTCAGACAAAGTTCTACGTAGGCTTGAATAAGATTACACCACACAGAGCCCCAATTATATAATATCTACCCATGAACCCTCAAGTAAAGAAGACCAGTTTTACGTTGATGGCGGAAATCTTGCACCACCTAGAGCCTCTGGACTATTGCAACTCCCCATAAATGGGTGTTGCAGGATTTCCTCCATCAGTAGGCATGAATTAGGCTTGATGCAATTTTACCATGGCCAGAGGAACGCTTCGCCAGACCGCTTGGCGCAGGAGCAACGTGTCCTGCAAGGTGTTGGCGTTTTGAGGTTTAAGGTCAATTTAGGGCACGGGGGCTTTCACGAGCTTAGGGTGGAGAAGTAGTTCTCTCAACATTTTGGGGTTTTGCGGTGCAGGGCAGGGGTCCTGAGACCGTAAGCACTTAGAATTCCATGGCAGGTTTTCTTACAAATCTTGTCAGCTTCTTCGTAACTTGCATGAGAAATCTGACGAGAAAATGAATGCAATAAAACGCACTCTCTCAGAGTGACCCGTGACATGCTTTCAGAATGACATATTTCAGGTCTGGGCTGACAGGGTCAGCAGCCTAAGCCCTAAACCGCGCCCTATAAACCCGAAACGATCGGCCACACGCCCTGAACTTCCCTCTTGCAAAACAGGAAGCTGTCCCAGTCAGGACAACCGCCGTCGCTCAAGATGGCACGGCTATGCCTGGAATGAGCGGGGTGTCAGGAATCATGGATTTAGCGTTGAAGCACTGTGGGACAATCATTGATTGAGTTTCAATGTCCTTCGTGCAGAAAAAGATCTTGAATACAAACCAAGAAGTCCTTCAAAAGCATCCCTACATGGCGGAAGTCTTTTTTTCCTGGCGCAGCTGTAAAGGAATTTCCTAGCCACGGCTGTAAGGATTCCTTATTAGCTGCCACTGCCACCATCGCAAGGATTCCCTACAGTCACGGCCAGGCAAACAAAAAACATGTCCCGGGGGGCGGAGCCATACCGTAAGTAGGTGTCAGGTCAGGGTCGCGTTTTAGGTTTTTGGTGCAGGGTTTAGGGCTATATCATCTTTATGACAAGCGTTCTGAGAATGAAGGCATTACTCCTTTATATCGAAGGCCCAAACCAGAAACTTGAGAGCTCAAACTGCTTAGCAAACATATGGTCCCCCTTAAGTAGATAGAATATGCTGTATATGGGGATTTTATTATCATGTACCAGAATATACCCAATGCCATATTCTGTCTACTTAAGAGGGGCTATAACTATACATCTTCAAACCCAAGAGTACTCATTGAGACTCCGCTACTTCACGGTGGTGTAGGGCAGGTCGAGGTCGGCTGCCGCCAAAATGGCTTCCTGTTTGTGATCACCGCTCCAGATATCTGAATCCTATAGCCCACGCTTTAAACCTAAATCCTAAACTGCAAAAATGGACCATTTGTCGAATGAACCTCACTAAAGAAACGAATTCCAAATGTGAGCAAGCCAGGCTTCTTTTTGGCGGCCTTGAGAAGCAAACTCTTTGTAGCCGAGCACGTTCGTCATCCTAGGATGAAATGTTCAAGTGGCGGCACTTGGAGGCTCAGGACCTAAACCCAGATCACAGTTGTAGCTAGGGCCAATCACAACCTTGGCAAGTACACTCGCTTCCAACATATGAGGATTTGTCACAGCGAGATACACCAGTGACAAAACAATTAAACTTGATTCCAGTATCCGATTCATTGCACTCGATTCTCATTTGGATTTCAATAGGATCCATGATATGCACCCCCCAAATATCCCGTCCCCACGATAGATACCCCCCTAATATTGAATACGGTTCGGAGTATATACATTAGCGGGAGACCCCTTTAATATTAGGGGAATGGATGAATGATTTTCGGAGGATCCAATGTCTGAGAACGACGCAAACAAGATTTTAAATCTCGCAAGAGCAGCTTCATTTGCTGTGACTTAGGCGAGTCCAGTTGAGAGAAACACTTGGTAGGCTATTGGCCTCAGAGTCTACTATGGGGCCAGGAGATAAGCTCTCTACAAGACAATTTTGACCATAAGAACGTTTTCGCAGGGGGATGACCAAAGGAACAGGCCTAGCTAGAATGGGGATTTGGGGAACATTTGGGTATACTGAAATGATAAAACTCCGAATGTGCGAGGAACGCACCGTACGGTATGGGTTCCAGGTCCAAGCGTTTCCCCTTGGCATGTCATGTGAGTGATCGTCTAAACTCCTAGTATCCCCCTCAATACCCCTACAGAATCCCGTATTAATCCCGTATATAGCCCGCATTAAGGAAAGTAGACCCTAAACTCTTAACTCTGAATCGTAAGCCCTATCCCCTATACTATCCGCCTTTCAGGAGTCTAGACTTTTGCTCATGTGTGGATTTACATCTCTGCTAGGCGCCCGAGGAGTCTACATACACCTTGGCAGTTTGGGCTTCAGGGTGTAGTGTTACGGCTTTAGGGTTCAGGGTTTAAGGTTTAGCTAGGGCTTAGGTTCATCATGCCTACGATCAATTCTGGGATCCGAATACAGAGAATTCTTTAATTATAGTACATGGAATCTACAGTGGGGCCCCAATCCTTACTAACAGAAAGTACCATGGACGGCATCTGGCCACAATCATGTACAGCGACGGCCTTTAGTGCCCCGCCATCACGCAGGGCGGTATGACATAGTACCAAACACTCATCCTAGAAGATCTCCTACTGTCGTGAATCTGAAGCTGACAATGCCCAGGGGCTTACAGTAGGTCCAAAACAGGACTCCCCCAAAAAATGCGGGTTGCTTCAGGAGGCCAGGTTTGGCTGTGTTTCCTTTCTATGAGAGGCAACCCCTGAGAGGATGCTGCGGCTAAGGGTTTAGGGTTTAGGGTTTAGGGTTTAGGGTTCAGGATTTTGAGCTCTCCATGCTCGTTACTATGGCCTTGGCGCCCTAGCCCCTCGACGTAACATGGATCCACCCCAAAAGGCCCATGAAGATTAGGGTCTGTTTAATTCAAAGGGGCCTTGAGTGGTGTTCCATGTTAGTTTGCGGGAAGGGTAGGTGGGTGCGCCAAAACCTGATACCAGTTGTGGTCCTCGACGCACATCGAAAATTCAGGATGTCTGTAAACAAGCCCGCGTACACTAGCCAGTACTCACAGCTCGATCTCCCTGAATCTTCTTGAGATGGCGTAGCTTGATTGATCCGGAATGCAAATATTTAAGCTGCAACGGCTGATTATGTTTTGTTCGCGGAAAATGCCTTACAAAGACTGGATTGACACATGAAGGCTTCAAGTGGGGATCCTGAAGCATAATGCCGCTCATGTTGGTCTGCTTCCGAGTCTCCCTCTTCAGGCGCAATTATAAAGGGTTGTTGTAGGATGTCCTGAAGATCCCCCATAAAAAGCAACAGGGCCCACGTTACTCTTCATTGCTCCGCCTCTTTATAAACATGAAGCCCAGCAACACCAGGCCCAGAAGCAGCGTGTAAAATGACATCGTGTACTCCACGTCGGCATCATCGCCAAACATGACCTCGTTTATGAGTTAGGTAAGGTAAGGTTTACGTTCGAAAGGTTGGAGGGCTTGGCATGAAGCCCACACATTCCAGGTGGAGATCTTACAGCCTTGGGGGCAAGTTTGCTCTGAAGCCAAGGACAGCGAGTCTAGGGCATCCATATCCCCAAGAAGAACCTGACAATCTTTGTTACTACAACTTGATCATAGGTTGAGGAAAGCAGAGAAAGCAGAAAATGAGTTTATGAGTGGGCAAAAGAGGCAAGAGCTGAAATGTTAAGGGTCCTCGAGATAAGAAACCAAACCCGCTTGAGCATGGAGAGGGGGGGAGCCTACCGCATGAACCCCGTAATCGGAGTGAAGCACACACCTGCGTTTTGGGGTTACATGCACATGCACCGCTGAACCGTCAAGAAAGTCTGCCTAGGTTTGCATCAAGGTGTTTACTCGTATATGAAGATTACTATTTAAGAGGTGAGTACACAAGAACTAAATAAAAGGATTACGCCTACAGAAAGGCAACGTAACACGGGGCTAGCTTATGGCACTCGACAGTGGCTGCAGTAAGGGCTAAAACCTCTGATACTCAAATCCAGGCTCCTCATGCAGGCTAGAGGCAAAGCTTGCAAAACTCTCTGTTACACAAGT